GAGGAGGAGGAGGAGGAGGAAGAAGAGGAGAAGAGAGAGAGAAAGAAGAGAGGAGAGGAGGAGGGAGAGAAAATGAATATGAATCAAGCTGATTCCATTTTCTCAGCAGAGAACTTTCCCAATGCATTACTTATGTTGTCCTCCAGGTGGTACTGATGAGCCTTTCTGGGAGATGAGACTAGAGTGTTACAAAGGATTCAAACAGTTTTTCCTACCCCTGGTCTGGAGCTCTGGGCTTCCTTTCTTAGATATTATCCAGAATCTCCTTTAACTTATTTCTATGTATCTCTACAGGAGGAAAAAACATTGGCCTTTACCAAATTGTTTTCAGTAAACCATCTCACTTAATCTTTACAACCCCATAAATCAGGCTTATTATCACATTTTTGTTAAGTGAAAGCAGACTCAAGAGTAGACTGCCCAAGTCCCACAGCATTAAGCAGAGCCCAGAAAGGGGAAAACAGGTTTGGCTGTAAACTACACCCCTCCAACAAACTTCTTTGATTTTATGCAAGTTAACTGTTCTCTTGACGAAGCTTCAAGAGAATTCCAAGTCTTGAATGGAAAATCTGCATTTCAGGTCTCCAGATTGCCCGCCTCTTCTTCCAATAGGTTCCTTTTATCACACAGGGACACCCTTTAGGGTGCTTTCTTCCAGAGACCTGAAGTCCACTAATGGCATCTTATTTCAGGTGTAAGAAAATGTGCCAAGTTGGAATGTAGTGCCCAAGAAGTAAGATGCTGGCTGTTGTCCAGACTCCTCATCCTCAGTGTAGCAAGACAAAGAGCAGGTGTATCTGCAAAGGAAAACAGAAAGCCATCTGGTCTCTAGGGAAAGATGCATTTGATTCCTCCTCTGGGCCCAGGATTAAGGTGACAGAAGTCACCTTAAACACAGTCTTGAGAATTGGGGAATCTGGGGGTATGAGGGAGTAACTTTCTCATACAATCACTGAATTAAGCCAATCTTGCATTGGGTCTCATGAGTCTTTCATTCAATTTTCTTGCTACTCTCTGTAAGAGCTTTCATTTCTAAGGACATTATTCTAGACAGTGTAAAAATTCAAAGTAGTATTAACTTAGTTTAATTCTGATGAATTTGTAGGGTCAGGAAAAGTTAAATATGTTCAGAGATTTTGATGGCATGTATCCTCTCTTTCATTACAAATCTCAGATTTCTTTGTCCCACTTAAACCACATTGGCAAAACTCAGAAAGCCTTTTGGAACAGGGGCACGCACCTGAGAACACAGCCAATGCCTCCATCACTGCTGGTACATTTCCTTCTCCAATAGAAATACTGTTCCCAACTTGTGACTCTGCAACGTTCATGGAGACCTCTTGAGAGCAACTGGGACTGCCACCCTGTCCTCCTCTGAAGCATAGGACTAACAATGACTATAATGCAGAAAAGGGTAAGTAAAGCTTTAACAGGAAAATTGTAGTTGCCTCTAGGTGGCAAACAAAGTTCATTCTAAACTATGGCTTTCCTGTCCAGCTGACTCAGCTAAATAACTCTTCAGTCTGACTATACAGTCCAAACTGAGCCTGGCTTTTGCTCCTTGTCACGCTTAAAGAGACAGTGGTTTCTACTTGACTCCATTGTAGTTGGATTTGAATAGAATCCTTCCCTGGAGTAAGAAAAACTCAGGTCTAGAGATTGTCAAAGATGCAGTGTTTTGTTTCAATCAAACACTTGGCTCTGTAGGACTAGCCAAGCCAAGGAAAATGAGATGAGTTGAATTACGACAGAAATCTTTATTAAAATGTGTCCTTCAGTAATACGTTAGCATACATACAATATACACACATACATATGTACACTCTTTGACACACCTCACGGATCGCCAACATCAGTTTAACCAATAAATTAAAACTAAAAAAGAGGGGGAAGGGAGGGGTACTAAGGGCAAAATTTTCATGTATTATCTGGTAAGAAATTGCAAATTTCTCAGAATTTCCCTGGGGAAAACCTGACCAGAAAATCTTTGAAATAAAATACATAAATTCCCCCCCAACCCCCCCCCCCACCAAAAAAAATCCAAAAGATGCAGTTACAACAAATGTGCTTCTCAGAACAGGAGCATTCATTTCACTTCATACTCTGGCTTCTGCACCTTCTGGCTTCAAGACAGTCTGTCCCTCGGCTGGGGCACAGAGGTTCATATGGGCACTTGGGCTTGGTGCACCTTGGGCTCTGGGGGTTGAGGGGCAGGCTGCAGTATGGGAGCGGGGAGAGCCGCACTCATCTGAGGTGATGTCTGGCACGTCATCTGACTGTGTGTCAGAGCTCTCCAGATCACTGCGGATGCTCTCTGGCTGGGCCAGGCTGATGTCCCAAGCTTTACTGGCCAGGCAGTCTTTCTGTTCACAGCTTTGGTGTTTGCAGGGGGGATCCTCTTCAATGCCGCCGCTGCCGCTGCCACCGTCACCATCACCGCCACCACCACCACCACCACCGCCACCGCCACCACCACCGCCACCACCTTCTTCTTCATTTTCTGCCATCTGAGCATGGACATGGAGTGAATCCTCTGTGCTGCTTCCACTCACCAGCTGATACTGGCTTGGTTTGGCCTCAATATCCACTTGGATTTCCATATTGTTGCATTCTCTGTGGAGACAAAATCCACTGTGCTGAGTCATGCATGGGTCATGCTATACCTGTTGATAAAAGCAGTTTGTGGATTTAGGATTAGGAAGTTTAAAAGGATGAGTAAACAGTGGACTTGAGCTTACTTTTTGCTACACACTCTTTTAAACATCTGAAAAAGCTTCCAAAATTCTACTAAGGGTCAGAGCTTCACATTATCTTTCTCAAAACATGAATGTGAAAGATTTATAACTCTTTCCTACTGTGCTGTAATTAGAAGAAGCCAGAATCCCAACAGTAAAGAGTACTGCAATCACACCAAGCCAGATACACTACTTAAAATGAAAGCATATGGGAACCACATCAAGCAAAAGGTGAGCAGAAACCGTAGATTCACAGACATCAATGTACACCAGTCTAGCTCTTTCAGTTCCATGTGAGTAATTACACACAGTTTCAGTAGCCAAGGGGAGGGGAGGAGGAAGGAAATGAGAGAAGGAATCTTTAAACATCAAGCCCTAACAAGAAGAATCAAGAGATGCCAATACCCTAGGACCAAGAACTTGGTCAATGAATTCACAGGGCATATTCTACATCCCACTAGATGGTACATAAGAACCCTAACATGAGGCGTTGCACTTTTCAGAAGACCTAGTACTGGGCAAAAAAAAATGCAACCTCTCCTGGGCATCTGACTGTTCACATACCTGTCCTGTGGGTTGTAGGAACTGATTATGGAACCGGCCATAGCACGAGTGCTTGCGTTGTCACTAATTGCACCAAGACTGGCTGTGTCTTTGGGGAAAATTTCCTTTTGGACATCGGCTTGGACTTCTAACCTGTGTAAAGAGGGGACGTTCAAGTTAATACGAGACCTGGGTATTCTGAGACAGTCTACTTCCTGGCACACATCTCTTCCATTATTCTCTTGCAAACTGTCTGATCATCTCCAAATTGTCAAATAGATCAAATATGTGCCCGCTCATTTTCCCTCTTAAATATCTACTGATATCGTCCCCTCCTTTCTATCCCCATTACTACTACTTTCACACCCCAACATTTCCTGCTTGGGGATTTACCCCTGGGCTCTTTCTCCAGGAGCACCTAAGTCCAAGTCAGACAACCTCAAGACCAGTGCCAGTGGATGAAGACCTGATCTCTCTAAAATTCCTTAACTCCTGGCTGCCTCCTGCTGAACAGGCATTTATGGTCTTCCTGATCTGTCAGGAAGCCAGTCCCATCTCACTAGAGGCTCAAAATCATAATCACTTTGAGTTCAGATTTTTATACCTCCATAACTCTGCACCTGCTATTCTCTCTCTCTGGAAGTTTCCTTTCCTCTGCAACAAACATATTTGGTCCTTAATAAAGGAAATATCATTTCCCAATTTTCTCCCAGAAAACCAGTCACTTCCAACTAAGTGCTCCCATAGCAACTACCTACTTATAAATTTCTCTCTCTCTCTCTCTCTCTCTCTCTCTCTCTCTTTCTCTCACTCACTCACTAACTCCTCTGGGAGTTTCATAAAAGAAGAGACCACATCTCACACTTTACCCTTTGGGCCTCAAAACACTTAGCAATCAAATCACCCCTGGGCTATAACACTGAAGGACACACAGGAGCCAACCTCCTCCCTCCTGATAGAGCAGCATTTTCCCAATGATGTCTCAGAGATAGGAACCCATAACTATTTGCCTTCTTGGCTCAAACACTATTTTGTTGCACTCTTGAGTATTTCCTCATAAAGGGTTTCACCGTCAAACCCATCTGACTCATTCACTTCCTATAAAAGAAAGGCTTTCACAGAACTGGAACAGCTGGACTGGCTAAGCTGCAGTTTCAGCAAGTCACTCTCCAATTACATGTGTCTGCTCATTTATAGGGGAGCTGGCTTTAAGAGTACAGCAGTGAATGTTCCAGCATTTGGGGGCAGGATCCCCTAACAAGAGACACCATAGTCACAAGACACAGCGGGATCAGCAGCAGCCTCCACCCTACCACCTGCACCTTGGCTCTGCTGCTCCGCCTCAAATACCCTTCAAGGATGTGAAGCGGTCTGGCAAAATGAGGAGAGTGCAAGGGAAGTGCACTCGTCAGAGACATGGGTTCCAGCTTCAGCTCTGCCACAGGCTCGCTTTCTGTGGGCAGTAGCTTTCTCAAAGTAGCTTTCTTACTTAGTGGCTATGCTGAAATCAACTTGGAAGTTTGTTTTTAAACTCAGTCCAACCCTAGGTCTCATTCCAGGAGACTTTAGTTATTATTTGTGGAAATGGGCCCTAAAATCTATTTTTAAGAGGTTCCCAGGTGATTGACCTACCTGCCACCTGTTGCTTAAATCCTTTTAATAGCCAACAGGCCCTTTGGTCCCACATTAAACACTTTAGAAATAAGTAGCATAGTATCTGCAAAGGTAATCCTTTCCTTCTTTGGGTTTTTATACAGCTTTCCTCCTATATTCTATGCATTGCATTCAAATTAGTTTCCCTCTAGCTTCTGCCTAGTCATTTTAATCTTCCTCTTGGCGTGAGTCACAGAAGTCTAATCCCTTCCCCAGCTGAAGGCTTTCAGACATCTGAAAGCGATTAGCTTCCCTACCTCCTTACCCTGCTGTGCTCTACCTGTGCTCCTCCCCAGGCAACTCTTCAGAGAATCAAAAAACTGCTTCTTATCTAATATCTGTAAAGTGCCTCTGTATATATTCTGGGTTGTCTGAATGTGAAATGACCAAGCAAGTCACAATCTTTTTAAAAGTCATAAAGCTTTACGTATTCTCAACACAAATTCATAGATAGGACAGATATAAGGGTCATAGTACCAGTTTATGTTGTACATGGTACAACATAAATGCCATTCAACCAAAAGCCAGTAAAATGAGCCAAGGGAGAGCACAACCTCAGGAATTCAATGAAAATGCCTGTTCTTCAATTAAGCAGGAAGCCCAATGTGGTTAGCTGAGGGAGAATATTCTGAATATGGAAGTAGCTACTGTGCAGCATAAAGAACTCTGAAGTTTGCTAAAAGTTGAGAAAAATACCACTGACAATTAAATCAAAGTGACATGATATATGAAAGATGCATAGTACACAGAAATGGCTTAATGTATCACTTCTTATAATTCTAACTGTTAGAAATTATCTATTTGCTTACCTGCTGTACTTTCCTTTGCCACTGGAGAGAATGCCACCACTCAGCGTGCCCCCTGAGAGGGCTGCAAAGCTTGCTGTTTCACTGTAAGGGCCTTGCATAACACTGAGTCCATCTGTAGGGCTTCCACTGGTGCTCAACACACTAGTCAGGCCTTCGATACTGCTTTCCCCAATGCTGGGATTCTTGAGGGCTCGCCAGGCATCTGCCACTGTGGGTGGAACAAAACATCTCAATTCAGGACAGCAAAGCATCAAAACAGTCTAACAGGCATATTCCTAAAATGACTTTTCAGAGTGGAGGATTTTATGTAGAAAAGTACTAAGGTATTCAGTTAATGAAAAGCTACTATGTGCAGCCATTGTACATCATCTGTTTTAACATATGTTCATATTTAATCCCCCCAATTGTCAGGCATCGACAGCTCTGACTTTAGTTGAAGAAATTAGAATTTAAAACTAAATTTAAAACTTATCCAAGATCACAGTCACACCAAACTACAATTCTAAATCCAAAGTTATTTCCACAACTCTGTAGCTCCTTAATTAAACTGAAGATTTCAAAATATGTTTAGGTCAGTGTGGATTTCAATAGAAAGACTGAATTCACCATTGGTGAACTCTGTGGCGCAGGTTAGTTAAGATGGTGAAGTGGGAACAATGTTCAAGAAGTCAGAAACTTGCTTAGTCCCAGCTCTGCAAAAACTCTTAACAGATACTGAAGTAAAAGCTTAAATATGTTCCCATTTAAAAAGGGATAATAATAGCCCCTGCCCTTCTTCTTCAGAGAGCTGTTGTAAAAAGGAAGATAATAACTATGTAAAGTCCTCTGAAATTGTAAAGTACTGTGCAGACATAAGGTTTTATTATAATCACTCAACCACCAGCATACTTGGAGTTACTTAGAATCCTACTAGTTTGTACCTGCCACACAGAGGCAAGCACCAGAGGAATTAACCTAATAATTCTGGAACAAAGAAATGAAAAGCTAAAAATACATTACCCCCTACAAACCTCATTATCCAAAGTAATCCAATGACAATCTCTGTAGAATATGCTGAATTTTATTGATTTTTATATTATGTCCCATAAATTTAAATGAAAATAAAAATCTTTCCTTTACCTGTAATTGGACCATCATCTTCATCAAACTCAATTTTTACTCCCTTTCCATTAGCTGTGCTAACTCCACAGCCACCGCCACGACAGAGAGAAATGGGCACAACCCCATAGACATATGCCAGCATAATGGGGACACCAAAACCTAGGGGAAGAAATGAAAACATGTCAGCAGGCCATCAGGGTGCAATTGTCCTAAATTCTCTTTCCCAGTCTTGACATGGACAAACCACTTATAAAGGGCCAAAGAAAGAGTGCACAGTCCCCAAGTGGATGCCTGGTATAATGGAATGATGACCAGATTTGCAAACAGAAAGGTCTAGATTAGCTGGGTATGGTGGTGTATTGCCTGCAATCTGTTACTCTGGAGGTTGAGGCAGGAATATCCAAGTTCAAGGTCAGCCCTCACACAAGACTCTGTCTCAAAAAAAAAGAACTAGGGATATAGCTCATTGGTAGAATGCTACTGGGTTCAATCCCCAGTACCACCAAAAGAGAATAAAAAGATCTGGATTACACTCTTGACTCCAATTCACTGGCTATCTTACTGTGGACCTGTCCTCTCAGGGAGAAGAGAACATATGTACAGTGCCTAACAGAGTAAATTTATATTACTTTCATTTCCCTCCTATTCACTGTTTAAGGGCTAACCCAAGAATCAAACATTAAATAAGTGACTACTAGGGTTTAGGGTATCCAGCAGTGTAAATTACAAAGTCACACTGCTCTGTGAAGTAGAATGGTTTAATTATTAAGAGCACAGGATCTGAAGTCATACTGCCTTGATTCATACATCTGCAAAGTGACTTTGGCAAAATTACTGCACCTTTCTGTCACAATTGTGGTGCTTTCTGAGGCTGTAGGACTAAATGAAACAATGTGTATGAAGCACTCAGAATTATGTTTTTAGCATACTTGGAGTTAGAGAACAATTAATAGAACTGTTCTATTAAAAAGTAGAATCCATTTCTGCTTCTAATGAAGTTCAGAGTTCCTTACACCACATGATAGCTGCTTCCATATGTAGAATAGTCTTTTGACTTCATATCCTTCCTCTACTAACCACATTGGGCTTCCTGCCTACTGGAAGAGCAGCATTTTCATTGAATTTCTGAGGCTGTGCTCTCCTTTCACTTTCAGCTGAACAGCATTTATATTGTATCTTATGGCTACCAGTTCTGTGGCCCTTTATATCTGTCCTAGTCTATAAATTTGTGTTGAGAATATGTAGAGCTTTAATTATTATAACTCATGAAATATTAGTTATAGATTATTTTTCTAAATATCTCCAAAAATATTGTGAGACATTAGTCAAAAATAAAACTAACTTACTTTGTGAATCTCATGATAAGTGAAGGAAGAAGATGAAAGGTGAAAAACTAGGTTTAAAATAATATTCTTTAATTCAACTTTTTCTGTATGCCACACTGAGTTCTAGGCACTAACTTAAGACACATTCTGATAGTTTAGTGTAGCTGAAAAATAATCATAACAACATTGCCTAATAGAGTTAACTTGAACGCAGGTTTGTCATAAAATGTGGTGTCTCCAGGATAAAATGTTTGGCCAGCTGACTAAACTGCTGAGGTCAGAATGCTAACAGAGAAGTAGGCGTGGTGGCACGTGCCTGTAATCCCAGCGAATGGGAAGGCTGAGGCAGGAGGATTGCAAGTTCAAGGCCAGCAATTGAGCAAAACCGTGTCTCAAGATAAAAAATAAAAAGGGCAGGAGGTATAACTCATCTCCTTAGTTGTAAACAGTATAGCTAACAGAGGAGTTGTGGACCTGATTAGCTTACCAACACTAACTGCTGCAATCACTGGGGATGCAATGACCGACAAAGTCACTCCTCCTGTGATGGCTAAATTTCTCTTGTGTTTGGAGGTTTTCCTTCCCTCATACCTGCTGTGAATCTATAAAAGAGAAAATTCAGGTCAGAAGGTTAGGACACCAATATTTTGCCAGGGGGAAAAAAGAATAAATGACTATTTATTTACAAGTTACCTATATTAAAATATACCCTTTACCCCCAAAAATCTTTCTCAAATTTTAACCTAATTTAAGAGTTGGAAAATATAAGCTAATATAGAAAAAGTTAATCCAAAAGGAGACAAAATAACTCAGGGGAATAAAGTAAGCAATTCACCTTTAAGTCTCTGAGACAAGCCAAGCCAGGATGTTAATAAGAACTTTGAGATCCCATGGGGGTTTATAAAAATCCATTTAAGAAATTAAAGTTATTTTTATCTAAGAACCAGCTGGTTTCCAGGCAGCTCTGAAATATAAGCTCCTTTCCATTTCCCTCAAACCTTTGCCAACAAAACTAAAGCTGGAACAGGCACAGAACCCAGCATGTCTTACCTTCCTTCCAACGTAAACAGGAATGCCAATGACCATGGCAGGGATGGCAATACCAGCAATGAGAGAAATCCCCACTGGAGCACCAATTAATGTGCCCAGCTGCCAAAGAATTTTCTTCTTCCGACTCCATGGCTTCTTGCCCCAGAACGTACAGCCAGAGGGGCTACAGAAGAAACATGGAGTTAATGTCAATATCACAAACACAGCTTCTTATCAAGAAGGCTTGATAAGAACAATAGCTTTCTTTTCAATAGGAGTGATTTAGTTAAAGGAGAATTCAGGAAACCAATATATTATACAAGAGAGAGAGAAAGAGGACATGGCTAGAGTAGTAGAGCTGTGAGCTCTCTTTCAATTATTTATTAATTCATTTACTTTGTAAAGGCAGAACTCCAGAAACAAAAGGCCTTTTCTTCTCTCTGTTGAACTCTCTCTTCCCAGACCCATCAACACTGATCCAGCTTCTTCTTTTTTTTTTTTTAATTTAATCAATTATTTATTTATATAACTGATCCAGCTTCTTGACACTACTTGGGATCCTGCATAGCCTGTGCATTTGATAACTCACCCAAATGCATTGTGTACTGCAGTTAATTAACATTTTGTGAAGTTTCTTAGCACGTGTCCTACCACGCCTAATAGATACTGTAAACCATGTTCATCTTTAATGTCAGTTTGATAACTTTGGCTACTTTTATGCTCAGTCCTTCTATACCTGGTCCTTCTTCTTCATTCCCTTTGTGGTACCTTCTCTTCTTGATATTTAATAAGCAATTGTGAAAGTAGAAATCATGTCTTAATCACCCTGTGTCCCCAGTGACTGTTACAGAGCAAGTATTCAAATGTTCACTAAATTGAAAATTAGGTATTTTCATCTACACAATGAAGTCTGTAAATATTAGCTCCTCTAGGACAATTATTTTAAGATTCACTCAATGCTTTGGGAACTCATTATATGCAAGAAGCTGTAAAGAGATCATAGTTTAGTAAGGTTAGACATGTCCATGAAGTGCAAAGTAGTGAAAATATACTGAAAGTGATAAAGAAATGTCATGAAGAATGAAGCAGAACCCAATTACTCAAAAGGCTGAGGCAGAAGGGTCACAAGTTCAAGGCCAGCCTGGGCAACTTAGTGAGACCCTGCCTCAAAATAAAAATAAATGAATAAATTAAAAGGGCTGGGGAAGTTGCTCAGTGGTAGAGTGCTTATCTAGTATGCATGAGGCCCTGGGTTCAATCCCCATTACCACGAACAAAGAATGAGGCAGAAAATGGGAAAGTATGATCAATGAAATGGCATTTAAGTGGCTCTTCAAGAATGAATAAGAACTGAGCAAACTGAGACAAAAGGGGAATACTGGGAGGCTGATGTGGTTGGAAAGCATGTCAGGCAAAGAAAACAACAAGTATAGGGACAGGATCCCAGAAGAGACATAAGGAACAACAAACCCAGATTATCTGGGATATAGCATAACTAGAGGAGTAGATTAGGGCCGGGCTATGGAAAGCTGTTAGGGGGGTAAGACATGATTAGAAGGTTGCCCAGAGGTTGCTGAACTGGAAAAAAATATGGTCAGAGATAACTTTTTACAGATTCCTCACTCTGTAGTGAGAAGACAACTATGTCTCTTTGACATCCTTTTTTCTAAATAAGTAAGGGAATAAGACTACAAAAGCAATGGACATATTTCCCATCTCACCTGAGGTAATGCAAGTCTGAGATCTCTTTCATACAAAGCCAGCAGAATTCACAGCCACACACTGCACAGGTCATGTGATTACAGCTTCCATCATTCATCTTGATAATGTAAGCACTGCATCGTGGGCATGGCTTGATGTCATCTGCTGGAGTGGGAGTAGGAAGGAAGGATGGGTAGAAAAATACCCACTGTTAAACCTAGTTGACTTCATCATTCCTAACAGTGCTCATAGAAATGAAGGGTCAGTCAAGAACTCCTGACTGAGGATTCCAGATTTTGCAACACACTTTACTGGAAGGTTGGCTATGTCTAGACCTCAGGAATTTTCAGAAAATGAATTCTGTTTCATACTGAGCTGCCTATCCCAGTAATTGGCATCCTGTATAGCACTTGAGTCACAGTCTGAACAAGGAGACTTCCCTAGAGAAAGAACAATGGTTCCAAGTAAAACAGAATTTCCACTTGCCAATAGGCTGATGGATTTAAAAGCAAAATCCTATTTCAAAAATAGTCAGCAGTCTAAAATTGACTTTAAATTTGGATAACTGTTAATTCAGAAAACTAATTTTTCAGATTCAACAAGTATTATTGAGATTTGTGGTCAACATAACCCACAGTTTCTTCCTGTGATACTTTCAAGTTCAAAATCTAAAAATAATTGGATATGCTATATAACATACACCTGGTAATATTTACAGCAAGTTAGGAGCTATCCTATAAATACGACAATTCAGGAGACTGTGCTATGCCAGAAAAATGAATGGTAAAAATCTTTACCATTAGCCTCTCCCAAATGACATCATTTGGGAGACATAATCCACTGACATTTTAAAATAGGTTTATTCTGACTTGTCAAGGTTGGAACTGAATGTGACATTTTTTTTAAAGGTTCTGGAGATTGAAAATCTTCCTCCTTTTAAGGTTAATGATTAATTCATATTAGTATCATTTCCTTTCCTTAAATCTTTATCTAAAAGCAGTGATATGCTTGAAGCTAGAAAGCAAACAAGTACAGGTTTAAAACTAATTAAGTGTCTTTCTGCTCACAAAGAAATGAAGAATGAGGCAGAACCCTAGCAAAAGTACCGAATTGTTCTCCAATGTGAGACATATCACTAAGAAGGTAGAATATATCACTAAGAAGGTAGACATATCACTAAGAAGGTTAAATATTCAATTTTGTGGCTGGGCCTGGTGCTCTAATTCTAGTTACTGGGGAGGCTGAAGCAGGAAGATCACAAGTTACGTGCCAGCTTGGGCAATTTAGTGAGACCCTGCTTCAAAATAAAAAAAATTAAGGGGCTGGGGATGTGGCTCAAGTAGTAGCGCGCTGCCCTGGCATGCACGAAGCACTGGGTTTGATCCTCAGCACCACATAAAAATAAAGATATTGTGTCCACCTAAAACAAAAAAATAAATTAATTAATTAATTAATTAATTAATTAAAATTTAAAAATTTAATAAGGGCTTGGGAATGATTCAGCACTTGCCTAGCAGATATGAGGTCCTGGGTTCAACCTACATACACACATAAACACATACAATTTTAATTTTGTTGTATTTCAATTTTATGTGCCTAGGATAACCTATAAATGGTCAGAAGAAAAGGTACATATCAAACATATTAATGAAATATAACCACTATACTATTATACCATGCCAGGCATGGTAGTGTGCATATGTAGTCTCAGCAACTTCAGAAGTTAACATGATGTAAACATGAGAGTTCAAAATCAGCTCTGGAGATCCCAGCTCAAAATAAAAAAGGTGTGTGTGGGGGTGTGTGTGCTGGAGATGGAGCTTAGGGATAGGTAGAGTACTTACCAAACATGCTTGAGGCCCTGGCTTTGATCTCCAGCACCGACAAAAAAAATATAATCAGGGGTGGGGATCTAGCTCAGTTGGTAGAGTGCTTGCCTCGCATGCATAAGGCCCTGGGTTCAATCCCCAGCATCACACAAACACACACACACACACACACACAAAAAAAAAAAAAAGTATAGTCAAATAATAGTTTCTGTTCTTAGATTCCAAGGAATTCTTGAGTTTTATATTAGTAAGATAACTTTTCAAGATTTGGGCTCACTTTATGAGGTAGCAAATAAAGAGACAATGAGATAATGCCAACTTATACCTGGTCCAGATTCTTGCCCATAACTGAGACCTGAAGTATGCTTGGTCCGAACTCTCAAAGTCTGTGCCCTCTGCTGCCGGGCCATATCGCAGGTCTGATTTGGATGCCATATCTGCTTGCAGTGGTAGCAGAACTCAGTCTGGCAGCCTTCCCTCTCACAGGTTAGCTTTGGGCAGCTGGCACAGCCATAGGCAATAACAGCATAACTGGGGTAAGGAAACAGGAAGATACCAGTAAAATTAAAGTTGATCTAACAAGACAGACATTATTCATCAGGGCTAACATTGTTTGCCACCACCCCACAGCCACATAAGATGCAAAGAAAACATGCATACATGAGCCTGACCAACTATATAACTAATCCCATATGAGAAAGTAGATTTCTTGATATTCCAAAAATAATTTCCTGAAAAAATGGGGGTATATATCATATTTAGCCTGAATTCCTAGCCTTTGTTTAATCATAGTTTAAAATGCTTCAGTGGTTTGCCACCCAGTTTCATAAATAAAAAGTACAAAACAATTTCCTTTCCATGGTTTATTATATTTAGAGAGATTAGAGGTTTGTTTACAAGAAAAGACAATACTTATAAAATAAAGAACTACAGCAAAAACTAAAGCAAGTATACTTTTTCATTTTAAGTTTTACAATGGAGTTGGTCTAACAACAGCTTGAGAGACAATGGCCCTAGATGGTGAAGTTCTACTGAAAGCTCATTTTATCTTACACCTTTCTTTTTTTCAATTCCATTCTATACCTTTTAATGTCTTCTTTCTTGATAGCTTCCAAAAGCCAAGAATACTACCACCTCTCTTATAATTACTATAACATAAGGCTGTATCTTCCCTCCTCTCTTTTGACATATATGCTTAAAATGTAATTCAGAAATTATCAGTACTAGCATCAACAGTTTCATGTAATCCATGCTCATTTGCCAAGAATTAGTCTCCCATAAATAATCCACTATATTTACAACTACTAGCCTTTCTTATTAATTCTAAATATGTCAACTAAATTTTCAGACTACCCTAACAATCAGAGACTTTTCTTTAAAAAAGTAATTTAGAGAAACAAATGGAAAGCTGCAAAAGTTTACAACACGGTTTTCAAACAGATAAATAATTGCATGCTTAGCTGTTGCCATCTGTGCTTTGTTGTCCCCTATTCCATCCTCTTCCCAATTTCCAAAGCCCTCAAATAACTTATGTGAATGGCTAATAAGGTTTTCTTGGATTTATTCCAGTTTTCTCATTTATTTGAATGTACATTAGATGTTCATAATACCAACTCAAGTACTATGGTTCATCATAGATCCTGCAAATGACACTAAAACTATAAATGACCAGTATCTCCTATGTCATATGATACAGGCTGCATTAAAACTTTACTCAGAAAGAACAAAGTGAGAATAGGTTAATGTGTGAATGCAAATGATTCATATCCTGTGGGAGCTCTGAGCAAATTTACCCCACCTAGCTACAAAATAGCTACTAAAGATAAACAATATACCTCCTAAAGAAAGTGACTTGCTTGCTATTTTGTGTTAAATGGGAAAAGCAGTAGATGACCTCAGAAGAGTAATAAGCCAAGTTCTGAAGATACACATTAAATTGACTACCAGTCAGGAACACTTCATAATCCGATACCATTTTGCAGAGGAGGAGAAAATACTTATTAAAATTCTGTTTGTTTTTGTGCTAGGGACTGAACTCAAGGCCTCCTGTATATTAACCACACACTCTACCACTGAACTACTCCAAATAAGATTCCTTTTTTACAAAAAAAAAAAAAAAATTAAACACAGTTCAAATCAGTATGTCTGGTTCATTTCAGTTTCTTTACTATTAAACCTGGGGGGCAGGGACTGCTTCAGTTTTCTCTGGCTTCCTTTGTCTATGATGACCAAGGTATAAAGGTATCTGCTGCTTTGAACCTTAAACTTCACATTATCCTTGTTTTTCTTAATTTTGACAGACTTGGCATCCTTTTGCCTGTGAGTGGAAAATCCTTGATTTCCTCAATTTTTCAAGGCACAGCAATGAGGCATACTAGGGAGAAGACGTGGACTAACACAGCAAACAGTGAAAAACCAATTTTAGGTGTGTAATTTAGTTCTAATGAAGTAAAATAACCCCATACTCCCCAATCTATTATTATGACACAGAATTACTCATGGCATGAGACTTGATATTCTTGTTTTGGGGTGCCTGGTCTGGGCTCTGATTCATTATACATGACATTAAGCTACTTAAAATCTCCAAACCTTAGCTTCTACCCCTCAAATCAAGGTATAGGGAGATAATTCCCACCTTCAACTGTAGCTGAACATATTCTAAAACTGTATTTGCAATCTTGCCCTAGAACAGCATGAGCTGGGCATGATGGTATACACTTGCAATCCTAGATACTAAGATGCTGAAGAAGGAAAATCATAAGTTTCAGGCTAGTCTGGGCAATTCAAATTTTAAAAAGGGTTAGAGGTGTAGCTCAGTGGTAGCATGCCCTTGGGTTCAATCCTTCAATCCCAGTTCAATCCCCAGTGCCACATACACACACACACACACACACACACACACACACACACACACACAGAGCTAGAAACAGAAAGAGAGAAGAAAAACATAGCATTCTTTGCCCTACACTCTTGGCCTTTGCATATTCTTTCTTTTGCCTAGAAGTCTCTTCCTTTCTTCTTGCCCTGGTAAATACTTACCCATTTAAAAATCAGCTCAAATGTCATATTCTCTGTAAAATCTACCTAACCTCTTTAGGCAGCTGGTTGCCTATTTTGTGCCAGTGCACAATCATAACACATTATATACATTATACTGTAATTATCTTGCCTCTCCAACAATAATAGAGAAGGAAGGGGGAAGGGAGAGAAATACCGACAGGGAGAGGGAGAGAGAAAGGAAAAAAAAAATCCTTCAACCCTAAACCTATTTACATGGCTTAAATACATTGATCAACTTGAATCCAGTCTACCTTTTCAGATTGATATTTAGTCACTTCCCAGATCATGCTCCCTACAATATGCATCCAGAGGCTAACCAATCCAACTCCAGATTTAGGATGGTATCTTGGCGTTTTATATCTCCATGCATTTGCTCCTAACACTCAGGTTTAAGAGGCTTTTTTTTTCCCCCTCTATCCTCATCTTGAATGAATTTCTACTCATATTCTTGAAGGCCCACATCAAATGCCATCTTCTCCATGAGATCTTTTTTTGATATTATCATGCAAAACCTATTATTCTTTCATCTAAGAATACTTGTATTTTCCTTAGTACTTATCACATTATGTTTATAATTTCTTATCTATCAATCATCCTGTCTTCTCTACTAGGTCAACCTTCTTATCAAGAGGACTGCGTCTAAGTCCTTTCTGTTATACCCTGTCCTCAATTAGTGTTCAACACACACTGCATCATTTTCAAAAGTGTCTGCTGAATGATTACCTATCCTATTCTTTCCCACTTCCTATCTCAGTTCCTTATTTATGAACCAGGTATGCTTTCATACTCTGTACCTTTCTCATCAAGATTTACCTATTGATCTCACGTTTTTAGGACCTAAATGAAAGGGTTTGTACATGGAAGTTGTAGAAACAGTAGAAATACTCTAGTAACTTTTTTAAGTTACATATGGACACAATACCTTTATTTATTTATTTTTATGTGGTGCTGAGGATTGAACCCAATGCCTCACACATGCTAGGCAAGTGCTGTATCATTGTACCACAAGCACAGCCCCTAGAGGAAGCAATTCTTAATCTACTCTGAGTGCACAAGATGTACTGATAAATAAAGACACCCACTCAAGGCAGGCCAGAGTGATAACTATTAAAGAAGTCTCAAAAACTGCAAACAGGGAAAACAGCAAATAGTTAATTTTAAAGATGCAACAGAAAAAATAAAAACATGCTCCCTAATGATCCACATTTTGAGACAGGGTTTTGCTAAATTGTCCCAGCCTCCTGAGCCACTGGGATTACAGACGCATACCACTATGCATGGCTAATATTCTCCTTTATTGACTGTGAAATTTGTCTCACTCAGGGAACTTGTTCTTCCTTCATAAATGTGCTGGGAATGAACAGAAGCTTCCTGTTTATGGGAATGGTCCTATCCAGTTGTCTGGGAAGACCAATACTGATATTATCTCCTAGTGTGAGGTGGGAGGTGGAACTCTGCAAGATACAGAGGCAACAATGAGAGGCTGGAGTGGGGGACCTGCATAAAGAATTTAGGTCAGGACAACCTTATTTCCTATTTAACTGTATAAAAGTTCTGCCCTTGTATACCAGGATTTTTTATTACCTACTTTGCTCACCCTCAGTCTCCCAGAGATTCTGAAAGGATTTAAAATTGGCAATGGAGTAATGATGTCCATCTCATTTCATCATCTTTCATGCCTCCATTCCTCCCCCTGTCTCCCCTTTGCCCATTTCACCATCTTTCCTTCCCTAATACCTGTCCCCCCCCCCCAGGGATCAGCATCCACTTATCAGAGAGAACATTTGGCCTTTGGTTTTTTGGGGCTTGGCTTACTTAATTTAGCATGATATTATCCAACTCTGATCATTTACCTGCAAACGCCATAATTTTATTCTCTTTTAATGCTGAGTAACAGGACATCATTACATGTATGAATGCACATTTGGTGCCACACTACATCGTGTACAACCATAGAAATGAAAAGTTGTGTTGCAATGAATCAAAATGCATTCTGCTGTTATATATACCTAATTAAAATTAATTAATTAATTTAAAAAATGTCCTGAACATAAAAAAAATGGCAATGGAGCATCTGAGAGGAAAACATAAAAGTTTCATTATTTGGGGATTTTTGAAAAGACATGCATAGGCAGAGATTCAAAAGGATAATAGAGCAACTGTACCACTTATTAGCTACAAAACATTAGATCCCACATTTATATTTATTTTTTTTAGTACCAGGGATTGAACCCAGGAGTGCTTAACCACTGAGTCATATTCCCAGCCCTTTTTGTTTTTTGACAGGGTCTCATTAAGTTGCTCAGGGCCTCACAAAGTTGCTGAGGCTGGCTTTGAATGTATGTCCCCTGGCCTCAACTTCTAGAGTTGCTGGGATTACAAATTCTTCTCTGAGATGGTTTCTCCTTTACAAAATCCATTTATCACCATCAACTTGTATGAGACTAAAATGAAATTATATGTAAATAAGATTATACTTAAATACTATGCTATAAATAACCATAAATGTCAGTTATTTGTATTTTGAGCTAATTTTATCTCAATTGAAAGTTTATTTATGTTTATAGCACTGGGGATCAAAATCAGGGAAGCTCTCCCAAGCTTTATCTCTTACCTTTTTTAAATTTTGCTAAATTGCCAAGGCTCACAACTTGTGTCACCAAGCCTGTGAAAGTATATTGTGTTGCACACCTGTAATTCCAGCAGCTCAGGCTGCGGCAGGAGGATAACAAGTTCAAAGCCAGCTTCAGTAAACTTAGTGAGGCCCTAAGCAACTTAATGAGACCCTGTCTCAAAATAAAAGATAAAAAAGGGCTGGGGATGTGGCTCAGTAGTTAAATGCCCCTTGGCTGAAACTCTGGTACCACCCCCCAATACACACATACCCCCCCACACACACTTGTTAATATAGTACTTAGTATATTAGTATATCAAATAACAATATGAATGTTCCCTTACTTATGAATAAAATATTGTATTTAAATGATTAAAGACTATGCAAACTCTTTTTCTGTTCTACAAATATTTTGTAAAATAATGAAATCTCTTAATATATAGTGTTCTATAAGGAGTAATCATAATAAAACTAATGATCAGAACTTGGTAAATTCACTCACATATTCCCTCACCCTGAGAAATACATATACTTGTTCCCATGTGTAAGCACACTCATATATTAAACCCAAGCGAGGATTTGATAAATTTTGCTGGCAAGAACTTGATCAGTGTGTTACAAACATGGTTAGGTATGGGAAGAGATAACTGGAGCTTAGGGCTTCTTTTCTAGTATTATCCATGATTTTCCCCAGGCCCAGAAGAATAAAACAGTTTGACTTAAAAAACAAAATGGAGGGGCTGTAGCTGTGGCTCAATGGTAGAGTGCTCACCTGGCACATGTGAGGCACTGACTTCAATCCTCAGCACCACATAAAATAAAATAAAGATATGTGTTCCACCTACAACTAAAAAAATACATATCTTAAAAAAAAGTTTAAAAAATACCCCAACAACAAAGATCCACAATATCCAGTAAGAACATAGAAGCTATTTTCTTCCTGGCATTAAAAATAGGCAGCAGCTGGATGCACCCCTGTAATCCCAGCAATCTGGGAGGCTGAGTCAGGATTGTAAATTCAAGGCCAGCCTATGCAATTTAGTGAGACCCTACTTCAAAATAAAAATTAAAAAGGACTGGGGGTATAGTTCAGTGGTAGAGCACTCCTAAGTTAAATCCCTAATACCACAAAACAAAACAAAAACCCATGGGTAGTAAAACTTTAGCCATATCCCTAAGGAAACCAGGACACTCCTTTGGGAGGTGACAGAATTTTAAACTTAATCCCTATTTTTATAACCACCTTTAGCTGAATTTCTCAAAATTCTTTGCAAACATTATTGAAGACTCTCAACTATAAGGAAAGAATTAGGCCTATTTCAGATAAGAGAAATAAAGTAAGTGATTGTTAACAGGAATTAGAAAAGAAACTAGATTCTACAATACCTGGCTGTCTCAATGTTGTCCTTAAGGAAAATGTCCAAATAGTATTCCCAAAAATGGGAGTTAGGCTTACAAGCCAATGCTTTTTTATAACAGAGGCTAAGTGCAAAAAGTAGTTAGAACAGAGGTTGAGTGACCTTCATTAGCGTTAAGACAAGCATTCCAAGCCTAGTTCATCACTATTAGTTATATAACCCTGAACAAATCAATCAATTTCTTTAAACATCAGTTTCCTCATCTGTAAAACTGTATCAAATCCATCTCACAATGTTGTAAGGATCAAATTATGTATGCCAGTCATGTAGGTCCTCAGATGCCAGCTTGCTTGTTTTCCTTTATCTTTAAGTGAACAGATACATAGAAAAAAATAAATATATGATTGCTATAATTGTTTTTGCTAATTTAAAAAACCTGGGTGCTGTCAACCCAATTCTTGGCTAAATTAAGAAATGGCCTAGGCGCAGTGGCACACTGACTCCCAATGACTGGGGAGGCTGAGGCAGAAGGATAACAAGTTTGAGGCCACAATCCCAGCCCCAATTTTTCAATTTTATTTTGAGACAGGATCTCACTAAGTTGCCCAGGCTGGCTTAGAACTTGCAATCTCGGTAACTTAGTGATTATCTTAGTGAAAGCCTGTCTCAATAAAAAAAAAAATAAAAAGGATTAGGGATGTAGCTCAGTAGTAAAGTGTCCTGAGTTCAATCCTCAGTATTTGGAAAGAAAAGGGAAGATAGATAGACAGACAGACAGATAGATAGGTAGACAGATAGATAGATAGATAGGGGTGTGTGTGTGTGTGTGTGTGTGTGTGTGTGTGTAGAGGTATGTGGCGGGGCAGGGAGTGGAGATATGAAAAGAAAAACCCTAGGACTGTAGTTGTAGCGCAACAGAAGAGCACAAGACCCTGGGTTCAATCCCCAATAATACACACACACACACACACACACACAAAGACCTTTAACAATTCTTTAATACCTTTCAAATCAGTAGTGGTTTCGAGTTGCCACCAAGTTTTCAAATTAATTTCTATCCATTTTTATTGATATAAGCAAAGATATAAAATTGACTTCAGAGAAATAAAAAATGTAAAATGGGGCTGGATTGAAACTAGTCATAGGAGGTTTGATTCTTCCCTTTCTTTAATTATGCTTTGACATATTTTCCAGAAAGACGACCAGAGGTGCCACATTTCTTAAATTCAAGGAAACTCACATTTTTTTTTAAAAAAAAGGAGTTAATATACTATTCCAAAATTAACCATATAGTATTCTCTTAATATTCTTTGGGTTCAGAAAATAGATCAACAGTATCTGCAAGACTTTAATACTTTATAAATTAACCTCACAAGAGCTGGGTGCAATGGTTCATATCTGTAATCCCAGCTGCTTGCCAGGCTGAGGAAGAAGGATTGCAAGTTCTAAGCCAGCCTGGGCAACTTAATGAGACCCTGTCTCAAAATAAAATAAAAAAATTGGGGCTGGGACTGTGGCTCAGTGGTAGAGTGCTCACGTCTAGCATGTGCAAGGCCCTGGGTTCAATCCTCAGCACCACATAAAAATAAGTAAATAAATAAAGGTATTGTGTCCAACTCCTTCTAAAAAATAAATATTAAAAAAATAAAAATAAAGGCTGGAGATATGGTTCAGTGGTAGAGCACTTACCTAGCATGTGCAAGGGCCTATGTTAAATTCCCAGTACTAGGGGGGAAATAATTAACTTCATAGAGCCAGTAAAACCACCAGACCATAAGCAGACCCTTTTGTTTAGTTTTGTTGGCAAGGGTGATTGAACCCAGAGGTGCTTACCACTAAGCCACATCCCCAGCCCTTTTTGTTTTGAGACAGGGTCTTGCTAAGATGCTGAGGCAAGCAGACCCTTTAAAGAGCCTACAAAATCCTTCCTGATACTTATTAACCAAAAGTGAAAGTGATCTATCATAAACAGGGTACCTTTGACCACACACTTCAAAGTAATTTGGCAACTCCATCTTGGTGAGATTAAATAACACACCCACTTCTAAAGAAATTTGGCAGGGGCTGGGGTTGTGGCTCAGCACCAGCCTACCATGTGCAAGGCCCTGGGTTCGATCCTCCGCATCACATAAAAATAAATAAAGGTATTGTGTCCAACTACAACTAAAAAAAAAAAATTAAACAAAATAAATAAGTTTGGCAGAACAAAAAATAGAAGTTAACTATTTTAATTCTCCTAGACACTCAAAAACGGCTCCTTTTGAAAGGAAACAAATGGCAGCATCATGAAAATCTCAAACAGCCTATATACAGAGACTACAATTAAAAGCCCTTAAGTGCTTTGAAGCAAAGGATCACACAGCTTTTTACTAGCATTACATTTATGTCCTGCACCCTAGAATCCTTTTGCCTCCAAAACATAACACAGGAGAATAAAATTATCCGTCCAAGGTCCACAGCAGGTAAAGGAAGTCTGCCTCCCAACCCCTTAGATAAGCCCCTCTTGGCTGAATGCTAACATTCATGAGATGAACTGAAAAATAATAATCAGATTTTTTTTTTAAAGAAGGGGTGTGGGATGGAGAATCTCCACTGAATGCTTCAGACAGGGAAATCTAGTGGTATTTCAGCTCTGCAAATATAACATTTTAACTCACTGACCTTTGAAATCAAGCATTCTTAGTGCATTGAAGACTGTCATCACGATCTCAAGATCAAATCGGTTGGCAAACATTTTTTTTCTACCTTATCAACCTCTGGGTATTCTTCCACTCAGTGCCCTATTGACACTCTGGACAAAGAAAGGGTTTGTCCACCCTTCACCCCACCCACAGCAGCAGGGTAAGAACCACAGGGTGCCTCCCAAAAGCTTGGCACAGAACACACAGTGCCAGGGTGCTCCCAGAGCTTTGCTAGTGAACTGTCCTCTGCCCTAAGTACCATTCCTATCACCTCCATTCCAACTTTCAACAGCGATTGTCAGGAAAAACACGCCTTCTCCTGCAATGCTGCTAAGCGTGCCCCTAGCCAAATGGACACACCCCTCCAAAGCGCTGCCCCTGCAGAATGACATTCTCACTGCCTCCTTTGCCAAATATCCCCTCCCTTCTCACCAAAAGATATCCCCACTTCTGCAGAGGGGCCTTCACCTGCCCCCGCCCCAATAAACCCTCCTGTCTGCTGACTTAATGGACAGTTCCCTTCCCCTGACCGACAGCTTAGTCCGCACCTCGAGCCCCTGGGCAGGGGTGGGGCGCTGGGTGCCTTCAACACACTTGTCGGGGCTTGTCAGATGGTTAGTTACCGGTTACCACCCCGCCGCACTCGCTGCCCTTCTTTCCCTGACGCTGGTCACCCTTACCCTCCTCCTCGCTTAGGAATACACTCTCAGAGCAGCCCCTCTCTACTGACCACACTCGAGGCCCCGCAGCCCCCGCCACGCCCCTCAGCTGCAGCCCAGTGCCCCTGGCGGCCACGCCCCCGCGCTCACCCGCAGTCTGGGGCCGGGCACCAGCGGCAGTCCGGGTCCGAGGCCAGGTATCGGCGCAGCATGAACTCCTCGTACTTGTGCATGAGCGGTGGGTCGGCGAGCAGCAGGCGGATGTCGTGCGGGTTGAGTCGCTCACTGCACTCGGGGCAGCTGATGGGCACCCGGCTCTCGCTGATCTCCAGGCGCAGGTAGTGGCGGAGGCAGTCCCGGCACGAGCGGTGCGGACAGCTGAGTAGGCGCGGGGCCCGCTCCGGCGGCAGCCGCACTAGACACAGTGGGCACTCCACCTCCTCCGTGCCCGGGCCGCCGCCCTCCGCCGCCTC